AAAAAAAAAAAAAAAAAAAAAAAAAAAAAAAACTCCTGTAATCCCAGTACTTTGGGAGGCCAAGGCGGGTGGATCACAAGGTCAGGAGTTCAAGACCAGCCTGTCCAAGATGGTAAAATCCCATCTCTACTAAAAGTACAAAAAAATTAGCCAGGCTTGGTGGCAGGAGCCTGTAATCTCAGCTACTCAAGAGGCTGAGGCAGAGAATTGCTTGAACCCAGGAGGTGGAGGTTGCAGTGAGCCAAGACCGCCACTGTACTCCATCCTGGATGCTACAGAGCCGAGACTCTGTCTCAAAAAAAAAAATTATAAAAAATAAATAAAATTTTAAAATCTAATAGCTAACACCTTGTTGAGCACTCAACATGTATGGGTACTGGCTAAGGCTATGCATACACTATTTTGTTTAATCCTCATATTGTCCTCATGGGGTAGGTATTATTATCATAACCCCCTTGCATATGAAGAAGCTGAAATTTAGTAAATACCAAATAACTTGCCTCAGTTTATATCCCTGGAAAATGGTGGCAGAGCTTTGAACACAGTCAGTTGAATGCCAGAAGTAGTTAAACATTAGGCCCTATAGCACTTCTCTGAAACTGTAATATTTTGGTTTATATGCATTACTCATCTACTAGATCAATCATTTCACAATGATTGAAATCATATTTTGTCTTTTTGTTTGAGGTTTGTGGTTTCATTTTATTTCATTATTTTAAAAGACTGGGTCTCACCATGTTGCTCAGGCTGGACTTGGACTCCTGGATTCAAGCCATCCTTCTGCCTCAGCTTCTTGAGTGGCTGGGACTACAGGCACACACTATCACACCCCGTATTTTTGTCTTAAGCTTCTCCAGTAGTCCCAGCACTTTGTTCGGTAGCTGTTCAACGTATTTTGAATGAATTATTAAAAACAAGCCTGGTGTTGATTTTAGTGATACAATTTATATTTACATATGTAATATTTATATTATATGCTTTTGTATATTTGTCTATGTATGTGTATATAATTTATGTTAACTTAGCACTGCTGTGCTTAAGTGCCTGAGATGTATCTCAGATGCATTGGCCTGAGGAGAGAAGCTTGTATCATTAGCTCTGATCCTCCAGCACTAACCCCGATTTACCCCTTTCTTTCACTCACGCTGAGCATACCAGTTTATTTGGTGAAAATGCTTACACTGTAACATCTCACTGAAATAGCTCATTCTAACCAAAGAAAGAGCTAATTCTGACCTCTCACAAATGCTTGAGCATTTGCATAAGTGAAATTCCACCGTATGAATTTCACCCAACACCAGCTCTGCTCCAGCTCCTGCCACTCTACCGCTCATATCCTGGAACTCCGCATGT